TTAAAAATTTATACAATGGCACCACTTCTGGATGAATTGAAAATGGAACTTAAAAAGTACAAAGAAGATGCACAAGAAGGGAAGGGTTCTTTTGGCTTCATTTTTCAATTCTTAGAAATGGAGATTTGGAACTATGAGAAACAACAAGAAACGACTACCAAACAAGAAGACTGGGACAAAGAAGAAGCCATCTTTAATGAACAAGCAATTTTATGTGGGGAAGAAAAAGGAAAGGGGGGAAAGAGAATTTAAGACTTAAAAAAACAACCAAAGAAAAGAAAAATAATTCAAAAAATAAGTATAATACTGGAAAGCAACAGAAAAGGGGAATACAGAAGAGAGAAATAGAGGTAGAGAGACAAGGGGGTAAAAAGGGGAGAGAGAAGAAGAGAGGGAAGAAGGAAAGGAAAAGAAGTTACAAAGGACCGGAGCAAGATATAGAGAAACAGGACCTATTTAAAGATAATGGGTGAAAATTTAACTGAAAAAGGGATTCGGTAAAGGTACATAAGATTGTATTGTTATATTAGTAATAGAAATAACTTTAGAAAATTGGAAACAATGTATGATTAAAATGAGGGATAAAATAGTTAGTGTAATTTAGTGAAATGTTTGTGAATAAAATAAGTGAAATAAATGAGAAAATTGAATTAGGAAGGAACGGGAACATTTTAATTAGTTAATGTTTTATAAAATATAAGTGAAGAGGGGGGGGATTAACTATGGAAAGCTTATAATTGTTCCCATAGAAGTATGATATTTAATTGAAAAGTAATGTTAAAGATGTTAAGACTTTAATGAATATTAATATTAATGATAGAATTGAATTGGAATGGAATGTTGTTTTAATTATATACATTTATAATTTTTTTTCTTTTTTTTAAGAATACAGTGTGTATTTTAAGAATGTACCAAGCAGAATCCTAATGGAAGTTATGTATTATATTGAATGTTACAACTTTAGGGGAAAGATATAAAGGCATCATACTCCAATCAGTAACTACAGGAGAAATTTTGTTTAATGAGAAAAGATAATAGATAATTAAAACAGACAAACAAAACAGACAAACAGGACAGACAAAAAATATAAATACAATGATTTGAATTGAGATGAGATAATTAAAATAAAATTGAGAAAATTAAAAGAGGGGAGAAGCTATGCAGAAAATGTAAAATAATAATAAGATATGGAATAGAATATAAAAATGAGCATGAACCTGAATTTGTGTCTGTACGAAGAAATGTAACCCGGGATTACGCTACTTTCAAAAAAGATGTTTTATTTGTATTTTTTTTTGTTCTCTTTGTGAAAACTCAAATAAAATTTACAAAAAAAGAAAAAAGAAAAAAAGTTTCCAGTGATGAAGCTCCCACAACTTCTGGAGGCAAGCTATTCCGTTGGTGATTGCTCTCACTCAGAAAATTCTTTCCAGGTTGAATCTCTCCTTTTTCAGTTTCCATCCATTATTCCTTGTCTGGCCTTCATGTGCTTTGGAAAATAGCTTGACCCCCTCCTCTCTGTGGCAGCCCCTCAAATATTGCACTACTATCATGTCTCCCTTGGTCCTTCTCTTCACTAGACTAGCCATGCCTAGTTCCTGCAACCTAGTTCATATGTTTATATACCATATAACTGCACCATGCAAGATATAAAAAGGTGAAGGCTGCTCATTCTTTCCTCTGTTTGACTTCTTGAAATACTGAATAAAGATGTAAAACGTGATGAAATGTTTTCATCCTTTTCTAAAGTGTTTTGGCTATTCAACTATTCTTTGAAGAACCCCCCCCCCCCAAACTTAAAATATTAATAGAAATAGCGGAATTAAAAATGGGCTATTGCATTTTATTTTCACTTGAGATATTAAGCAATATTTTTATAGAAATGCTCTTTACATATTGCATAACAATCAACTGTAATTACACAGTTGTGTACCTAAATGATTTGGGCCTGCAGAAATTGCCTTAGTAATTGTATATGTGGGACATTTGCTTCTCTCAAATTGAAGGTTAGTCACTCAGAGGTTTAGTAAAGCAATTAGAGTATGTTGGGATTTCAGAGAGTACTATAGGTAATGAGGGCAGCTGTGTGATAGGAAAGGAAGAGCTAATCAATTTCATTCAATTCACCAGTTACTGGAACTATTTTCAGGGTGTTAAACTTCATAATACAGAATGATTGCTAAATGAGCTTTAGCTCTGTGCTGCAAATGCAGCTGAAATTACTGAATCAAGTGCCCTGCAGAGTAACAACCTCAAAAATAGATAAACTATGTAACATTCATAATAAAGTAGATACATTGCTACAGATCATATTAGTGTTTGAATTCGTATTATCCTAGTTCCATAGGGCTCTATGACTTGATCTATTTTCTGTAGAAAGAAAAAAAGGAGGATTAGATAATTTTAAAAACTTGTGGGTTTTGCAGATTTTGTTGGCATTATAAGGGAAGAAAGGAAGGATAATGTAATTAGAGATTACATTAGATTAAAAAAAAATTTTTTTCTTTGCTACTCTTTTTCACACAAAACCAGATCTGGATATACGAAGGAAAATGGTGCACATAAAATACTTCTGTCAGAAAATGTTTTGAAAGTTTTTCTACCAACACAATACTAGAGTATTATGTCCATGAAAAATAAATGGACAAATAAATCCCGAAGGCTGCATTTTGCAAACATTCCTAAAATTAAAAAAAAAAAAAAAACCAAACTGAATTAAATATAACATCTGTATAGTCAATCATTTTGTCTTGTGGAGGTTGTTTAGATACTATTTGTAAGCTCATAGCAAGGTATGTGAAAATAGAATCTTCCTTGATCAGATAACATTGAGAGTCACATGGCTTCAGATTCCAGAACCAACTTAAACTCTGTGACTTTGATAGCTTCATCTCTCAATTTAAAACCCTTGTGGTTGTGCCATTGCTTCAGCTAACTCTGCATTTCCACTGCCAGGAGTTCAATCCTGACCGACTCAAGGTTGATTCAGCCTTCCATCCTTTTCCCTCCTTGAGGTCGGTAAAATGAGGATTCAGATTGTTGGGGGCAATATGCTGATTCTGTATACACAGCTTCACAGTTCTCCGTGTGGAAAAAATGATTTTTGACCATTGATCACAATTACGACCATTGTAGCAGCTCCATGATCATGTGATCAAAATTTGGAAGCTTGGCAACTGGCATGTATTCATGATCTGCTGTGTCCCTGAGTCATGATATCTTTTGACAAGAATAGAGAAACCAGATTCACTTAATAACCAGCCATGTCACTAACTAAATAAGTGAAGCGATTCACTTAACAATTGTAACAAAGGTTTTAAAATATGGCAAAATTCACTTAACTATCTTGCTTAGCAATGGAAATTTTGGGCTCAACTCTGGTCATAAGTCAAGAACTACCTGTATATGGTTCCTATAATTATGATAAACTAGGGATCTTGGAAGAAAAGGGGTAAATTTATAGTTTTAGACCAAGTTTATGGTTGTTTATTATTGATACAATTCATCTATCCAATCTATTCACCATAGTTTGTTGTTGTGGGGAAAATAGGTGTTGGTTATGTTTGCTGCTTTGAATTATTTGTAAAAAAATACTGGTACTCTATGGTCATATTAGGAATATTATAGTCTATTCTTTAAAGGAAGGTATAAGCTTGTTTATGTAAAGTAATCCCACATTTCCAATGTCTGTCATAGATCAAACATCATAGTTATTCCTGCTTTAGAACATTAGGAACTAGTTGGTTCCGTAGGACAGAAAAAATGTTGATTTTTCTCTTCCTTTGTATATTAGGTTTTTTTTTTTTTTTGGCATACCACATTACTTTTCATACTCTTATCATGAAGCACTTATTTTGAGAAGTATAATTCCAAATATTTCTTAGTGCATGCAATTAGGTGTGGTATCCTTTGGATTGAGGTAGGATAAATTGTTCTTTGCCTAGGTTTGTTACGTGTTTCATTAGAAGTCAGACTTGTCTTGCTTTGGTAAGCAACAGATTGCAACAGAAGACTTCCATGGCCATGCACAAAAACTCTGTTAAGTAGATTTATCGTAAAAAAAAAACTGTAATGAAGTCATTAGAAAAAAGAATTCCAGCATCCACTGTGCATCAGATGGAAGTCTATTTATAGTGAAATCCATTCCAATCTTTTCCTACCTACACAGTCTAACAAGCTAATAGCTACTTTCTTGTAGGTGGAAGAGCGAGTTTCTATCTGTATCTTGTTTTTGCTAAGAAGCCCATCTGATATCAGACTGTTTGCTGGTGTCTGTGTACTGGTGTCCTCCACATCAGTGTACTTAACCCAATCTTCATATGTTCATCTGACCTGCCCTATGCCATGCTTGTAAGGGCACCGCCAAGCGTGTTGTAGTAGCCAAGAGGAGGTGAAAAGTGCTGGAAAGATTAGTCAATATGCTGGTAAACAATCTGAGTGGAAAAGGATGGGAGATATGCACCAATCTTGCTCTACTTGTTCTGTAAGATTGCCCACCAAAATGTGTTTCACTTGAAACACAAAATAACAAAGATGCTTCAGATATCAGAGCAGCTGAACTGAGAACTTCTGGGTTTATCTTTTAGTAAACAAAACACATTTACCATTTTAAATTCAGCCCCAGTGGTCTGCAATTTTGTGAGATTAGGAAAGGGGCTGATATATGCAATCTCAAATTTCCTCCTGTCATCATGTGATCACCCCTACCTGAACAACTCTTTTGTCATTTTATGTTGCTGTTCATACACACACACACACACACACACACACATGTTTGTTAATTAGTACCTTTAACTGTTTCAAAATTCATGGTGAGATGTTCTTATTTCTCTGTGGGTTGCACAAATAAAAAAGCATATTAACTGTTTCTTCTAATTAACTTGAAGACAAACATTTGCATGTATAATTAATGGTATGCATAATGAGTCTAAAACAATTTTGTATTTTAAATGGGAGAAAGCAATAACATTTAAAACTGTTCTCTCTCTCTCTCTTTGCAGCCTATAGCATTGTCTTCCATTAGGTGAGTACATTGTTTAACAATTACAAATTAATCACCTGTACTTTCAAATGTGTTTTGCTTTTTTAGACTTCTCATATTGCTATATAATGTTAAACAGCTTGGAGCTATATTTATATACAGCAGTTTGACTATATTTTAATTTTGTAGATCAGCACATGTGAAGATAGCATTCATTAAACTAGATTCTGCAGTACTGAGTTTTGTTGAGATGTGAATTCTGAGGATATACACACACATGCACGCACACCCCCAAGCATGCAACAGGATACACTGAAAAATAAAAGTGTTATATATCTCAGCTGAGGGATCTGAAGCCCATTACAGAGTATATATAATGATATGCCACAGATGAGGTAGCATTATTATGTTGATGACACTCAGGTGTATATCTCCATCCTGGAGAAAGTAAGTGATGTTGTACATGTCCTTTGACAATGCCTGGAAGAATAGGCATTCAACTGGACTCTGTAGGACAGAGTAGCTGTGGGTAGAAAGCTTCTCTATATCCAGTAGCTTACCATCTTTGATCCTGGCAAGACTTTGACTGACAGGGCTCACTAAGAGAACCTTCTCTACCATCACCACTGCCCTTTGGAACATCTTACCCCCAAGGGTGATGCAGATCCACCCTCTTCTGTGATGCTTAGTTGTACATCCCTGCCCCAGATTGTGGGATACGTTTTCATGGTGCCTGAAGCCTGTAGTTCTTTGGGGAAGAATCAGCTTTTGTTAAAATAAGTGGCTATGGATTATAGACTATCTAGTGATTTGCCATCTTTAAGTCTGGCTGGCATGCACTGTCCCCCTCCATCCCCCCACCCATCAGAATTAGTGTATCAGTTCTGGACTCGAGGCTCCTGTTTCATGAGCAAATCATAGACATGTTCATGAAAGCCTTTGCACAAATACATTTTGGCAATCAGTTGCACCCTTGCCTAGATGAGGATGTACTGTTTGTGTTCACTCACACCTTAGTCACTTCCCAACTGGTCTATTGCAACAGGTTCTACATAGATCTTCCCTTGAAAAATATACACCAATATAGGGCCACCACTGGAGAGTTTCGTGACTCAGTGTGCTTTTGGGTGCAATTCAAGGAGCTGATTCAAGGAGCTGATTATCACCTTTAAAGTCCTTGTAAGGTTAAATTGCTTGTGGAACTGATTATTCCAATGGTTTCTTTCTATCCCAATAGATCTGGCATGGTGGGCATGCTGTGGATCTTTTTGGTAAAACAGTTTTGCCTAATGAGACTTCGAAGTGTAATATATCTTACGCTTCTGTGCTTGCTTTATGTATTTGAAAAGGTCCTGAAGACATGGCGCTTCATCCTTCCTTTGTAATTATACCTAATTTCCAACCCTGCTGGACTTTAGGAAAGCAATTAAGACCATTTCCCCTCCCCTCCAAACCTGGGCACTGGGAACAAGGTACTAATGGAGTTGGCATCATTAATATTATGGCTGGTTGCACAGAAAGCCAAATGTTTAGACTGGATTTGGCATTTTTATCCCTGCATTGAATCCTTCCCAAAGACCTGAGATATGCAGATGTTGGTGTTAAAAGTATTGTCACAGAATGTAAGCTGCTTCAAGTACATCTAGTTTTTGCAATTGATTGATAGTTATTTCATCACTGATGACGTTGTTATTTGCCTGATTTCCAGGAATTTTGGGTGGTTTACAAATTGTTAAAATAAAAAAAAACAATACAAAGAAACAAATATGACAGATGTAACAAACCCAGACAAGTGAAAGGTTTCCATTATCCTCAACAAAGGACTCTGTGAAGAGCCTTGTGTTTAGGGCCTTTTGAAATTCCAGTAGGGTGGAGGTTGTTTGAATTTAGGAACCTCATTCCAGAGGGCAGGTGCTGCTACAGAGAAGGCCGTCTTCTGTAGTTCCAATAAATGATATTGTGAAATATGGAACTCTGCCAATAGTATCGTGAGATTTATTGGGCTTCATAGTGTATTTTTTGTTTTGGTGATGTGTTTGATAATTGTATTTTGTTTTTCTTGTTCGCAACTCAGAATTTCCTTGAGGTGGGTGGGTTGAGAAGACTCATTCTGACTCTAACATAGGCTTTAATGCATTCCAGATGTTTGGGTCTACAATCCCAGAACTCCTGAATCATTAGATATTCTAGCTGTTTGGATTTCTGATGATTGTAATTAAGTTTCCAGGATTTTAAAGAAACTGATTTTTTGAAAGCCTAAAGCATAGAAAATTCAAGTGATGTACTGGACTCCAGAATCTTGCCTGAGGGTTTAAGAAGGAGAGTTAATACTCTTAATGAAATTATTAGAACTTCTTATTAAGCTTTGCTCATTCTCCCTTTTAAAAGACACCTCATACAAATAAATAATTGAGGAACCTTTCTGTGCTTAGAGATAAATAAGAAAGCTGAATGATCTGTTGCAATTTTGTTGATTCAGAGAACTGAGGTTGCTATTTGCATCAAAAATGTTTTAGTAAACTGTTACAGTAGTTTAAAATTTGATCATGTTAAGCTAGTCATATAGGAAGTGATTGTTGGGAAAAAGTGATGTACACATTTCAGAGTTAAAATAAAAGTAACAAGCAGGAATTGTTGCAAAGTTGCTAGCCTTCTCTGAAAAATATCAAAGATCTGAATTTTTGTCCTTGTAGATTCAAATAGTATATTGTATTTCTAGAGTGCTCATTCTCTCCTGCCTTTCTGACTCAAAACATTTCTTAATACTTTTTTTTAAAGAATAAGAATTGCATAGAATTTGCAGCTGCATGGAAGAGACTGTGAGCTGTAAAGCTAGTAATTTTTAAATCACTGATCAGAACGAATGTTTCCTATTCCTGTAAGATGAGGAAATATTTTACACTAAAAAAGAACAACCATATCCAATGACTCTCTTAAGTTGTTTGACCATTTATCACATGACAAAACAACTATTATAAGGTGTAGAAATCAAGATTTCCATTTATAAGAATGAAATTGGGTGGGAAAGGGATGAAAAAAAGAAGATAGGGAAATCACCACGCTGCCTTTTAAAAAGACCTCTATTCCATATTGGCCAGAATTTCCTGAAAAACAATTTGCTGATAAGAAGTTACTTCCATTTTAGAAGCAAAATGGACTTCAGGCTGTTATTCATAAGAACTTTCATTAACAAAAAGGAGGTAAATATAGTAGTTTGATTTAATTTTATATAATAAAATAGTATGTAATAGTTCATAAGTTTAAAGTTAACAGAACATGAGAAAAGTATCCAAAAATGAAATAATTGAATAGATTATTCTGGATATTTATATATTAATTCAAGGATTAAGCCTATTCTTTTACTATGGTACATAATGTAATTGTTCTTTTACTAAGGAACACATTTTTTTGTTTTTATGTATGCTATGGATAAAGAGTATTAAAATAATACTAACAAGTAGATATGGTTAAAACAGAATAGGAGCAAAGATTAGATATTTTTGTGCCAATTGTCCCTAGAAACCGAAACAACAACTATTTCTATCACTAAATAATATGCATGCTGAAACTTGAAAAAACAAATACAAGGCAAGATAAGATATGTGAGTGATTTTTTATCCAAAGAATACCTTTTGTATATGGGGAGCTTGCCTTTGGGGCAGATCTGTGAATGATGATGAATAATCTGACCCTGAGTATGAGACATTTTCTTGATTATATTTTTAAAAAAATATTTTTACTGCATCTGTCTTAATATTTTTCCATTTTCTTATTAATTACAGTACTAAATGTACTTTCCTGTATTGTAAATCTGTATGATTTACTTCCCAATTCCTTTTCCAGTTTTGTTGAAAACAGTATTTTAATGCGTAGGTCTTTCAGAAGTTTGCAGGAAAAGGAAATGGGAAATAACAAGACTAAATGACATTAGTTCTCTGCTCCTTATTTTTATTTTTTATTTTATTTATTTACTTATCCTAAAACTGATGCATAACAGTGCAATGGTTTAAAAGATGCTAAAAAACAGGAGTTGTTTGCTCTAAAAGTACAGGAAACAACTTTGTAAACAGCAATGGATCATGCCCAGTATTTCCTAGCCAAACCACAGACAACTACAATGATCTAATATATATCGATTTTACAGAAGACATTGTTGAAAAAGCACTGCGCAATCTAAAACCATCTCTATCTATTGGACCGGACGGAATATGTGCCTACTTCTTAAAAAAGCTATCCACTGCCATAGCCGAACCTCCAAGCATAAACTTTGAAAAATCTTTCAGGACCAGCTCCTTGCCTAACCTATTGTCACAAGCCACGGTCATCCCCATCTTCAAAAAGGGAGACCCCAGCCTAGTTGAAAATTACAGACCAATCTCCTTATGCTGCGTCACCTGTAAAGTCATGGTATCAATTATTAACCAATCCATCATCCTCCACTTAAGAGACAAACAACCTACTCTCCAATAAACAATTTGGTTTCAGGAAAAAACTATCCTGTAATCTGCAACTCTTACACTGCAAACACATATGGACTACACAACTCGATCAGGGCAAAACAATAGATGCAATCTACATAGACTTCTGTAAAGCCTTTGATTCAGTGGTATGCGACAAACTACTCCTAAAACTAAAATCTTATGTTATCTCTGGACAACTGCATAACTGGATAGAAGCTTTCCTGTCAAACAGACAACAAATGGTCAAAATTGGGAGTGTCCTATCAAATTCTGTACCTGTCAATAGTGGTGTCCCCCAAGGCAGTGTTCTAGGACCAACAATCTTCATATTCTATATAAATGACCTCTATGATCATATTAAGAGCAACTGCATTCTTTTTGCTGATGATGTAAAGCTGTTCAATACCACAGACAATTCTGCAACCCTTCAAAAAGATCTTGACTATGTATCAGAATGGTCAAACAAATGGCAACTTCAAATCTCAACAAATAAATGCTCTGTCTTACATATTGGCAAAAAAAATCAGAAAATAAAATGCAAGCTGAATAGTTAAGATCTTGTTGATGATCCAAGCTCTGTAA